TAGTTGAATATAAAGGTTTAATCAAATTTTTATGTTTTCTTCCCCTGACAAGAAGACTTTATGGATGGTGTTAAGTGCTTCTACTAGGAGGTACATTATGTCTCTCTTCATGATGGTTAGCAGCCATTGGGAGTCCCTGGGTGGTGCAAATGGATAAGCACTCAACTACTAGGCAAAAGGTTGGTGGTTTGAACCCAGCCAGAGGCACCTCAGAAGACAGGGCTGGCCATGTGCTTCTGAAAGGTCATAGCCTTGAAAACCCTATGGAGCAGTTCTCTGCATGCATGGAGTTGCCATGAGGTGGAATTGAATTGATGGCAATTGGCAACCACAACAGCTTCCACTGATTATTGTTATTTAGATGCATTATTTTATTAGGGATTTCAAAATAGTGATATTCCAGTTCTAGCCTTCCTTCTTTATTTATTAGCTGAGTAAATGAAACTTCCCTTTATTAACTATTTGATACCTTGAAGGTACAGATTACATAGGAAAGGCAAGATAAATGTTTCATTCATTCCAGTTTTACCAGTTTTCAAAATAGTGAGTTGGTTCTCCAGCATCTTCCAGTGGTGACCAATGAGATTTTTTTCCTTCATAAGTATTAATAATTCATGGATTTAAAATTATTTTTTAATCCAGTACAGTTATGCTTATTGATGATTAAATTATCCTATTTTTTGCTTCTGTTTCCTTTTGACTCAACCTGAGTAGTCTTTGGTTGGTTCCTTTTATCTGCTATGGCATGATTTTAATGCTTCATCTTTTGTACATTCCCTTCCCTAGTTTTGGAATTAAACTTTTCTCTTAGGAGTCGTCATTTGTTTTAGTGGGCATTTAGAGACTGGATTCTAGAGTATTCATTACTACTGGATTGCTGTTTCTGGAGACAGAATTAGGAAATATGCTTTTCTTTCTTTAAAGATAAATTACATGGTGAGTTCATACTGATACTTCTAATTCAAATTTTTATTTAGCCCTTGTATTGATCTTCTTTCATCTGTATCTGTGTCCTTCTCTGATGCCTCAAATCCCATTTTTAATGATACTAACTTAATTACTCATTTGCTTTATCCCATAATACATACACAATGACCCAGAATAACAGTCCTCACATTGCTCCAGACAATATGATAATTAAAAAACAGTTTTCTCCTAAATTTTTTTGGCCTCAGAATATATCCCACTAGGGTTGTATAGATAATGTGTTTTAAAGTTACTTGAAATACTTCCTAGAAAGGAACCAGTTCAATACATAAAACAAAAAAACCAAACCCGTTGCTGTTGAGTCGATTCCGACTCATAGCGACACTATAGGACAGAGTAGAAATGCCCCATAGGGTTTTCAAGGCTGTAATCTTTACGTAAGTGGACTTTCACATCTTTCTTCTGCAAAATGCTTGGTGGGTTTGTACCGCTGACCTTTCGGTTGGTAGCCTAGTGCTTAACCATTATGCCACCAGGGCTCCTTTTAGCTCAGTACATAGAAAACAAAACAAAAACAAACAAATCTGTTGCCCCATAAGGTTTCCAAGGAGTGCCTGGTGGATTCGAACTGCCAACCTTTTGATTAGCAGCCAAGCTCTTAATCACTCTGCCACCAGGACTCCTAGTGACCCTATAGGACAGTAGAATTGCCCCATAGGGTTTCCAAGGCTGTAATCTTTGCGGAAGCTGACTGCCACATCTTTCTCTCACCGAGTAGCTGGTGGGTTCAAACTGCCAACCTTTCGGTTAGCAACTGAGTGATTTAACCACTGCGCCACCACGGCTCCTTACTCTATGCATAGTTAGGTTTATTTGTTTCATTTTGTTTTAGAGTTTTCAAGGCTTTGTTATTCTTTATTTTGTTTTTATAATTATGTGAAATATACACGGCTCCAAAGACAAATCTACAGAGTATGTTGGGAAAAAAAAAAAAAAAAACAAACTAGCTTCTATCCCTGCCGCTTCCACATGTTCCCTCCCTCCCCTATGAGTAATTTTTTTCTTTTTTTTTAATTATTTTGGTTTCTTCTTCTTATTTTTACCCTCTCCTCCCTTCTTAGATTAAGGATAGCATATTATACATGCTTTTTGCCACCTGTTTTTTCTTTAACAATTAATTGTTCTGGTCTTTCCTCCATAGCAGTATATGGAGCTCTTCCTCATTCCCTTCTCCCACTTCATAGAACTCAATTGTGTGGATGTAACCGTTTATTCCTCTGGTCTCTATGGATGGACATCTGCGGTTAAAAGTAGTGTTGCAGTGAATAGCCTGTGTGTATAAATTTTTATTTTTTTGATAGTGTGTCTTTAGGGTCTATCCCTAGAAGGGGGACAGTTAGCTTAGAGGGCAAGTGCATCTGTAATTTTGAGGATATTGCCAAAATCCCCTCCATAGAGATTGTACCATTTTGGGTTCACACCAGCAACTCACATGAGTACTATTTTTTTTCCCCCACCATAGTCTTGTATGTTGGCAAGCTTGGGGGTTGTCAGTCTGACAGGTAGGAAATGATTTCTCAGTGTCATTAAAATTTTAATTTCTCTTGTCAGCAAGGTTGATCATACTTTTGTATGATTAAGAGCCATTTGCATTTCCTTTTCTGTAAACTGTCTAGTTGTATCTAGTTTATTTTTCTTTAGGGATTTGGTCCCCTCTCCCCCTTCCCCCCCAGACAATGTTGGGAGAGAGCCCTGGTGGCACAGTGGTTAAGAGCTCAGCTGCTAACCAAAACATTGGCAGTTCAAATCCTCCAGCAACGTCTTGCAAAAACCCTATGGGGCAGTTCTAATCTGTCCTATAGGGTCGCTATGTGTTGGAATTGATGGCAACAGGTTTTTTTTTAAAACTATAGTAGGTACTCTACTTGGTGCTGGGGAAACAGCTCAGTACTAATGTCAACAACCACCTGTTGACATTATCTATTATCTATTATCTATTGTGTTTTAATTTTGTCCCAGTAAGTTCATTATATGTGTAGCAGAATTAATTGTGGCATCCAATTAAACATTGTAATAGTCAGTCCTAAATCAAAGAAGAGCGTCCTTGTATGGAGAAAGTCAGGGCTTGATACACATTTCAGGGCCTGTAAAGTTGAGGTTGAAGAATACAGCCTGAAGACCACATAGCCTGATGATGATGTGTTTTGCCACACAGTGTTTTTTTTTTAAAACTTGAATAACCAACATTTAAAACCATGAGCTTTCACATAAAATCAAAATTTCTAGATTTTGGAAGAAAAATCTGAGCATGTACCATCATTGGGACCCTTTCCTGTGTGTCAGCATTCAGCTGCCTGGGACAGCTCACTCTCCATTTCATCATGGTTCCCTTTTTTCTCTAATACTTAATTGCTCTGCTGTTCATTATGGTAGCCACTGCCACATGTGGCTGATGAGCCTTTGGAATGTGACTAGTCCAAACTGAGATGAGATCTAAGCAAACACACAGATTTCAGAACTTTAGTATAAAAAATAGAATGCAAAATACTTCATTAACATTTTAAAGTTTCGTTTACATATTGAAATGATAATATGATGAATATAGTGTGTTAAACTGTACTATTAAAATCAATTTCATCTGGTTTTTACTTTTTAATTGTGCAGTCTTGTCTGGTGGAATGATGCTGAATGTGGTCCAGCCCAGATGAAAATGACTCACAGTTTATTCTATTATTTCTCTGCTGCCTGCAGAAAGAGGCTCAGGAAGCCAGTTGTGTTAGAGACAGATCTTTGTGTGTGCCTCGATTGTGACTTCTCCATCCTTGTCTTACAGGCCAAACTTCCAGATTTGCAGCTGTTTCCTTCTCCAGATGGTGACACTGTGACGCAACATGAAGAACTAGTTTGGATGCCTGGAGTGAATGACTGTGACCTCCTTATGTACTTGAGGGCAGCAAGGTAATGGGAATCTGCCCCATCCCACTTTCTGAATTAAGCCATCAGATTAGTAATCAGTTCAGATTGGTAGGCAATAAATAAACTTTCTCCTTTCCCCTGAAAATTATTTATATATTGGGCATTCTCTGGCATTAACTTCTGTTACACTCTTTATAATCAGAGCCCTGGCCTTTCTTACCAGAAAAAAAGTTGTTCATCATGGTTAAGTCACTTTTTTCCTGGGATAATTCTTGTTGGTGTTTATGTCAGATTTTGGAACTGTTCATCAGAATGAAAACATCTTAAAGCCATGGGTGCAATTATCACCACTTCCCATCCAGTTGAGTAACTGGGTCAGTCAGCCCACCTTAAAATTCGGCTACAGATTTCATGTTATCTCTCTACTCAGAGACTGTATTCTTTAGTGCCTGACCTGAACTTGACATTTTTGTGGCTTACCTATCCGAGAACATGTATCTGTGATTACACTGTTTAACTTACTTGCTCACATATAAATGCCCAAGCTACAAAAGAGAAGTTTAAATCTGTTCCCAACACATCACAAAGCAGCAGAGATTTCTGGGGCTAACACACTGCAGCCTCAACCATGTGCACCTCCACCAGTGAGCCTCCACCAGTGATTTCTGGGGCTAAGGCACTGCAGCCTCAACCATGCACACCAGGAGAAAACACCAAAACGGAGCTCCAGGCATCTGCATTTGTGGTTCTGGCCATTCTGTGGTTGGCAGGGCATGCCTCGTGGCACACAGTAGGGATTGGAATGTTCAAGTGGAGCAAATAACTCCTAAGAATGTTCTTAATCTCTGTTTTCACTTTTAATTCATCTGAAGGTAGTTGATGTATAATGTGAGAAGAATTAAGTCAAGTTTCAGAGAATTTAATTTCATATGTTTTTGGAACTTTTCTTTAAGAAGATTGTAATCTAGCCAACTATTGTTGCAAATAGGTGTAGATTATTTACCTACTCAAAACTAAAATGTTAGTACTAATAAAGGCTAGGAAGAAATAACACAAATGTACCTGACTAAAACTAACTTTTCTTCTTGTGAGTAAGTGAAATGTTACCTAGGGAGGGAACTTTTTTTTTTTTTTTGGTTGCAAAAGCGGGGGTAGAACTGAGAACTCCACTTACCACATATGTAATGGAATTTTGGCAGGACTGAAAATGTACTCTGAAAGTTGAGGGCTGAAACCTGTGTGCTGACGTTTTTTCTTCTTTCCTGAAGGAGCATGGCAGCATTTGCAGGGATGTGTGATGGGGGCTCCACAGAAGATGGCTGTGTTGCAGCATCTCGGGATGACACCACTCTCAATGCACTGAACACAGTAAGTCTCTTGCTGTCACCCTAGGCAGAAGAAAGTTCCTTTTTCCCTGTGCTGGCAGTAGGGAATGTGTGATGAGCATGGGATGTGAACTAGCCTGGAATCTCAGGAGTAAGTACCATGATACGGTGCTGGGACTAAAAAACGGGCCATGGTCTTGGTTATAGAGCTCCCTGGCTTCAGGCCAGTGATGCGATACCTACAGGTTCGTTTCCTAATCTGTCTGGATTGCAGGATTGTTGTGAGCCTCAAATGAGGTTCTAATAATAGGTGAATATTTATTGAGATCTCACCAAGCTGAGTACTGTGCACAGATGATTTTATTGAATCCTCACAACACCCCTCTGAAGTAGTAGCTTCTACTGTTGTCACCGTTTTAAAGATGAGGAAATAAATTTAGTGAGATTTAGTCACAATCCAAGGTCACACACTCAGGATTTAAATCCAGAGGCCATGGTTTTAACGTTCACTGTGTCTGAGACTGTATTTGAAAGTGCATGGAGGGACAGGGGATATAAGCTAGACTCCTTTGAACAAACTGGTTTTTTTATAGATTTTACTTTGGAACCATGTGAATATTTTACATAATTATAAAACAAAATTAAGTTTAAAAAATAATAATCTTTGGAAAATCAAAAGCAAAATGAAACAAGGGAAGCTAACTTTATTGAGCTGGTTGCTTAGCATACTACTTTAATTACTCATGTACTTGAATCTCTCAATACACACACAGCAGCTCAGTATAATACCACTGCTACAACCAGTATGATTACTGAAACCAATTTTTTTTTTTTGGACACTTCTTTGTGGCCTTAGAATTTATACATAGGGCTGTGTAGGAAAATTAATGTATTTTAAAGTTACAAAATAATTTCTTTCTGTATGGCTATTAATGTGAAATCATCAAATCTGAAGGAATAATGAAGAATTATTGTGGAATCAATTTCTGCTATATTAATAAAGATTCTACTTGTTATGTGTGGTAACAGACTGTTGAGCCTGAGACTGAGCAACTCTTCTGATGTTTAACTAAATTAATTTAAATACCTGGCTTTTTTTTCTTGAGAGGTCAGTAAAGCTGGAAGGGACTTTGGAGATCATCTATTCCAATCTCCTTGAGTAGATAAGAATCCAAAGCTCAGAAAGGCCAAATAACTGTTGAATGCCAACAATGCAAACAGTTCATAACAGAGGGAAGAAAATAACGCTGATTCCCAATTTTAGGCATCTTCCTTCTACCCAGCTTGCTTTTGAAGAAATGTATATAGAGATCTGAATGATATGGCTGAAATTTATTCCTGGTCTAATTATGTTTTGTGGGTATTACATAATAATTTCTTGTATGTGCCATTGTTGGAAGTTGAGTAATCTTTCTGAGAATATGCCATGTTCTAAATAACTGAATGTTCTTTCCCACATTCTCATAAACTGTATCTGCCTACTTTCCACCTATTTGACACTCAGGTTTTTATGCTGTCTAAGAAATCTTTATTCTGAACATGTAACGATAGAATTGGAAAAGGTCTTAGAAATCATTTTATAGATGAGGAAACTGAAACTCAGAGAGTGGTGATACTGCAGACAGAGGCTATGAAAGGTGTAGGTATGAATGTCAGTGAATTCGGAATACCTTGAAAAGTGTGTGAATATTCAAAGCAAGTCTGTTGCTTGTTTTGTATGAAAGCATTAAGAAAAAAAGATCTGCTTTCATGACTATTCTATTTATCAGTTAAATTTTGAATAAGGAAGATTTTACCATATTTAATTAAAAGTGTATTTCTGCCACTTTACTAAATTTATATGATTTATTGCCTTTCTTATCCCAAACTCTGAGGATTCTGTAGAACACATTTTTATACAGAAATAATTTGGGCAGTTTTTGCCCATGGTCCTCTGTGGCAGGTTCCTTGTGAAGTTTTCTTTAGCATTGCCAGAGGGTTTTTGGTTTTATGAGTTTTTATTTCAGTGAAACTACCTTCCCATCACTTGAAATTCTGCCTGCCTAGGCTGGCCCAAGATAGCTCTTGGGTTGTGTAATACAGGTATATTTAGCTACACAGAGGCTGCATTGCATGCTCATTTTGGGGTGAATGTAAAAGTTTCATGGCTGTTATGTTTGTACTTCATGGTTGTATGACTTGAAGAGGTTTTAAGTCATATGCTTCCCTTAATGAAAAGTGAAGTGAATGAAAAGAAGTCTTGTGAGAAGTTAATGTTTATTTTTACCTCCTTGGAGCAAAAGGGGATTTGAGCTGTGTTAAATAATAAATTAAAAAGAGATATACATTGTTGTGTGAGAATGGTTATTTTTTTCTAAGAGTATACCATAGAGTTAATACAAGGTTAGGCATTTTATCAATTTAGAATAAATCTGTGAGTGATTAGTGTCTATTTCCTATTTCTAAGGGCAAAATAGTAATTTCAAATACATGAAATCTGCTATGTGACCACATCAGAGTAGGTTGAACATCCTGGTAAACAGACAACAACAACAAAACAAACCCATTGCCATCGAGTCATTTCCGACTCATAGCAACCCTATAGAACAGAGTAGAACTGCCCCATAGGGTTTCTTAGGCTGTAATCTTTACAGGAACAGATCGGCAAGTCCTTTCTCTCATGGAGCAGCGGGTTGATTCGAACCACCAACCTTTCAATTAGCAGCCAAGTGCTTTACCACTGCACCACCAGGGCTCCAGTTGCCATCGAGTCCATTCAGATTTATGGCAACCCTGTGTGTTGCAGAGTAGACCTGCGCTCTATAGTGTTTTCAGTGACTGATTTTTCAGAAGTAGAACATCAAGCTTTTCTTCTGAGGCACCTCTGGTTGGGTTCAAACTGCCAGCCTTTCCTTTAGCAGTCAAGTGCTTAACTGTTTCCGTTACCCAGGAAATCCACGCTTCTCTTTAGGGCAGTGATAAACAGTACAGAATAAATAGAAGTGTATTTTAAATAGTTTAATTTTTAAAAACTATAGTCTCTAAATTGAACAATCTTTATATTCAGACTTTTTCAGCTGTAATTCTTTATGACAATTGTGTGGACCTATTTTTAAATTTAAGCTTTTCTGGATTATTTTGACTCTGAAAATTTGTTTCTTTATATTCAACAATGAGATTTTTGGTGTACAATTTTATAAATGACTTGTTGGGGGTATAACTTTTATACCATACACTCCACTGATTTTAAAGTATGTAATGAGTTTTTGTAGATGTGTACACATGTGAAACGACTATGATAATCAAGAGACAAATCATTTCCAACACTCTCAAAAGTTGCCTCATACCCTTTTGTAGTCCTTTTCTGCTTCCAGCCTCAGGTTACCACTGATGTGTTTTCTGTCATTATAGATTAGCTTGCATTTTCTAGAACGTTATATAAATGGAATCACATAGTATATACTCTTTTGAGGCTGGCTTTTAGCATGATTTTGAGATTCATTCATATTGGTAAATGTCTCAATAGTTCATACCTTTTTATTGCTGAGTAGTATTCCATTATATGGATATTCACAGTTTGTTTATCTACTCACCCTGTTGATGGACATTTTAATTGTTTCCAAGTTTTTGGCCATTACAGATAAGGGTGCTGTGAACATTGTACAAGATTTTGTGTTTTCAGTTCTCTTGGATAAATAAATACCTAGGAATGGAGGGGCTGGATTGTATGGTAAGTGTGTGGGTAGCTCTTTAGAAATTGTCAAACAGTTTACAAAAGTGGTTGTACCATCTTACATTCCCATCCTAAAAAACAAACCCATTACCATCGAGTCGACTCATGACGACCCCATGTGTTACGGAAGCAGATTGCCAGGTCTTTCTTCCACAGCACCACTGGGATGAGTTTGAACTGCCAACCTTTAGGTCAGTAGTCAAGTGCAAGCCATTGGCGCTACCCAGGTGAGTTCGTTAACATTCTTCATCAAGATTGATATTTCAGTGTTGTTAATTTTAGCCATTCTAATGGCTAAACATCCATTATTAGTCAGAACACGGAACATACAAAGTAAGAATCAAGGAAAGTTAGAACTTATCAAAAATGAAATGGAACTCTTGAAGATCAACATCCTAGGCATTAGTGAGCTGAAATGGACTGGCATTGGCCATTTTGAATGTGACAGTCATATGGTCTACTATGTCAGAACAACAAATTGAAGAGAAAAAAAGTTGCATTCATCCTCAAAAAGAACATTTCAAAATCTATCTTGAAGTACAGTGCTTCTCAGTGATAGGTTAATATCCATATGCCTACAAGGAAGATCTATTAATATGACTCTTCAAATTTTCGTACCAACCACTAATGCCAAAGATGAAGAAATTGAAGATTTTTACAAACTGCTTCAGTCTGACTTGATCAAATGTGTAATCAAGATGCATTGATAATTACTGGTGATTGGAATGTCAAAGTTGGAAACCAAGAAGGATCAGTATTTGGTAAACAACGTCAGAGATCATGTGATATAATTCTGCAAGACCAATGACTTATTCATCGAAATACCTTTTTTCAACAACACGATCGACGAGTATACATGTGGACCTCACTGAATGGATTACACAGTAATCAGATCGACTACATCTGTGGAAAGGAACAATGGAAAAGCTCAATATTATTAGACAAGACAAATCCAGGGGCTGACTGCGGAACAGACCATCAATTGCTTATATGCAAGTTCAAGCTGAAGAAAATTAGAACTAGTCCATGAGAGCCAAAGTACGATCTTGAATACATTGCACCTGAATTTAGAGACTGTCTCAAGAATAGATTTGACTCACTGACCACTAATAACTGAAGACTAGAAGAGTTGTGGGATGACATCAGAGATATCATACATGAAAAAGTAAAAGGTCATTAAAAAGATAGGAATGAAGGACAAGACCAAAATGGTTGTTAAAAGACTCTGAAACTTGCTTTTAAATGCAGAGTAGCTAAAGCAAACAGAAGAAATGATGAAGTTGAAGTTAAAAGAGTTGAACAGAGGATTTCAAAGGGCAGCTGGAGAAGAT